ATATAAAGCAAGTTAAATCAGAAATATTGGTATGGCACATTGTGTATGTTTTCTAATAGTCATTTATATTATTTTACTTTTTGAATTGACAGTTTTACTCCTCTTGTTCCGCTTGAACCGTGTTAACTACTGATCGTGATAATAATAATGATAATAGCAATAATGATAACATAAAAGCAAAACAATTGATAATAATCTTAAGCAAACAACAAGCGATGACTAGTTGCGCAATATACAACTTGGTATCAGACCAATTTCCTGCAATCATTCCAAGAATTGCTTGAGAGCATTTCTGATGCAGTAAGATGCTAAAGCATTTAAATCCACAAATGCCAAACCTATTCACAGTAATAATCGTCGCATATGCAATAACTTAGTTTGATCAGTACGGTGTAATGTTTTCATATTGTATTTAGAAAAGTGTTTGTTTTACAATTTTTTAAAAAAGAGTTTTGACAATATATTGCAGTAATGCATAGTTATATAAGAGAGATGTTTTATTTTTACAAATTTGAGTATTTTAATTGCTAGAAAAGCATAATTAATATTTGAATTAATTATGCTGGATTGTTCCTGAGGTGGATTCCTCCAGTGAATTACATGGTGAGCCTTCCCACCTGGACTAAGAGAGACTGGGAATCCCTTCTTTTCCACTTAATGATCTGCTGCACCTTGCTGTGTGATAGGACTGTATCACTCACACTTTCACACACAGCTGGTTGTACAAAAAAACACTGACTGACATTTTCTCATCCTATTTTCTTTCACACCCTGGGAATTTTTTGACAATAACCCTTGGACATGTTTTATTTGGGACTTTGAAATAAGCTGTCGTGTAGAACATTCTCCACATGTAAAAGGTGTGTGAGATTTTCATCTGAATGGACACTGAATTTGTGTAATCTGTTTTCTATAACAGTTAAGGAGTCAGGTTACATTCTCGTCTGAAAATATATTAAAAGTTTATTTTGTGACCCAGAAACTAAGTAGCCTCCACCATTGTTGGAAAGTGGAATTGGCTGGGCTGCGCAAAGAATTCTGGGATAGGTTGGGCCACAAAGGATACACCCGACCCATTCTTCAAATTCGGGGAAAGGAAGGATGCATTTTTCGGCCGAATTTGAAGCAGCCTTTGAATTGGGACAGGCTTCGTCGCCTAGCTGTGACGTAATCGGCCTTCAAGTGTGACACCGCGTAAGATGTTGGTTTTGATTTTTTTTTTTTTTTTTAGTTGTTTTTTAGTTGATTTGATGCTGTTTTTTCTTGTTTTTCTTTTAATATAGGGCTGTTTTAATTTTATGCATTATGTGTTTTATTTATTTAATTTTGCTGTTTTCTTTTATTCTATTGTTTTTAACTTATTTTCTGTACAGCACTTTGGTCCTGTGCTGGGTATTTTAAAGTGCTTTATAAATAAAATTGGATTGGACTGGAAATGCAGCCTCCGAAGCATGCGGCCTATGAATTGGGACATAGCCTCTGTGTCTGTCTGCATCTCTGTGCATTACTTCCTGTTTTACTTTGGTAGTCTCCTGACTGTGTGCGCCATATTTTGTTGTACTTCTCTTTCTCTGAAAGTACCTCGTCTCATGTTTTATGGTCCCTTTACAGTTTTACGCCTTTACGGTTCGGAGCCACAGACCTGTTTTATATACGTGCGGAATAGTTTTCTATACGAGATCGCTGCAAAAAGTGCAGCCTTACCTATTGTCCACCCTACTGTTACTCATTTTATATTAAGATTTAAAAATGTAGTTGGTATTGGTATGACGAGTAACCTTCAGTAAAAGTAATAAATCACACAGCAATAGTACATTCATTAAGTTGTAGAAAGCATGATAATATATTAAGTAATCCAAAGTATTCAGAATACGTTACTCTCAGTCTCCATGCCGAATATCCTTGGGCAAGATACTAACCCCGAGTTGCTCTCCAATACATTCATCGTAGTATAAATATGATATTAGATAGATAGAAAGCACTTACATAGAAAGACAGTGCTTGTATGAATGGGTGTAAATGGGTGAATGAGGCAAGTTGTATAAATCGCTTTAAGATAGAGATAGATAATTGCTATAGAAGAAAGAGTCCAGTTACCATTGAAGTGCATTCAAAACTCTTCTTTGGATGTTGGCTGCTTTTGGGTCAATTCTCTGTCAGGATGATTCCACACTGCTTCAATAATGTTTAGGTCCGTGCTTTAAAGAGACCAATCTGGGACTGATAGTGTTCTGTTGTGTGCGTTCCCTGTAAAGGTGTGCATTTGCTACATTCACAGTGAGACTGGGATCATTGTTGGGTCGAAAAATGAATTCTTTGCCAGTCACACATGTTCTGGGTAGCACGGCATGGAGCTCCACTAAATATTATTGTTTAGTTTGGCATACTATCTTCTCCCTGTTTCTATTTAAGATCGACATGACAGCTGCCCTTCCACTGAGACAATTTCAGATAAGACTTCAGCAAATAGCAGATGGGTCAGCTGAAGTGCCTGATGCATCTGTTTGTGTCAGATTGTTGATTGTTGTTGTTTTTTTGTCCACTTCCACTTGTCTGAGTTCATCAAAATATTTATAAACACAAAGGAACACAAATATTTAGATCAAAGGTTTGCACTTGGATTTTAACTACCAGACTGGACTGGAAGATTAACCTTTTCTGAGCAACTGCAATCTAAAAATTGGATTTACAAGTCTGTCCATACCACGTTTTCAAGTACTAGGTTCTTGGGAATTACCTTTTTTCGGCAAAAACATAATTACTTAAGCTTCTGTTTTACACCCGCCAAACTGTTATCTGGAGCATTTTTTTGAGAACAGGCTGCTAGCAACAATGGGTCTAAATATACAATTTAAAATTAAATTGGATCTTTGCCAAGTTCTATGCTATATGTAAATGTAGCAGTAGTTCTCCCCTTGAGTTTTTTTTTTTTTTTAGTTGAGTATTAAGTGGCAAACTAACAAAACACATTAATTCTGAAAATGATCAGCTACCAGTCCATTAAGGACTGGACTGAAAATAAGTGGAAAAGCAGCCAAAGTCCAAAGAAAAACTCTGAAAGATCTTCAGAAAGCTAAACAATTCTTTACTCAAGAGTTGTTTAAAAATGACAAGTGTAGCCTCTTGGAATGAGAGAAATAAAATAACACAGAAGTGACTCAAGACTACATGTTCTGTACATGTATTTAGAACCAAATAATATGACTTTAATTCCATCATGCTAATACATGAATTATATAGTTTACAGGTGTCAATGTAGAATTTACAACAGGAATCAACTATATTATTTTATATTCCCACAACACATGAGTTACGAGTCTTCAAAGAGCTACACTTTCAGTATATTTAATATACACATTGTGTATTTGAGATCAAGATCAGAAGAATATTAACACTCAGTATATTACTTAACAGATACACATTGCTAACTACTGCAACTGTTGCCATAAATGAGTATGTGTTATGTATCTATGGTGTAAAACATGCAAAAAATATCCATTATGTGTGTATATAAAATTAGCAGAAAAAGTAAATACATTTATTTTTGCTTAATTATTTCTTATGTTGTAACAGTTCCTGTTGGTGATAAATCTTATCCTCTAGGAAAGCCTGTTTATTTCCCCTTAAATGGTGCCATGTTTGTAAGGAAAATGCATTTGGATTTGGATTGACCTGTAAAGTCTAGTATTTGGGTTGTGCCCATTACAAACTCACCAAAATTCTCTCTACCAATGCCAAAACAGTTTATTCTGCTATTGACTCTATGTTTGGTGTTGTTTATTGGATTGTCTGATTGAAGTCTGAAGAAGACAAGACATACTGGCAATTTAATAATTCATTAATTTATCAAATGGGGGGCCTCAGTAACATGAGAGCCATGTACAGCCACAACAGCCTGTCACCACCTCCACATGCTGGTTAACAGGTTGGTCACACAGCGCAGTGGGCTCGCACTTCATGCTTCAACAAGCATTTGTCACAAAACAGCCATTGTGGGTGTGTTGGTGATTTTGGAAAGAACAGCATGCCCAAGCTGATCCCATACGTGTTCAATAGGTATTAGGTCAGGACTTCAGGCAGTCCTTTCTATCATCACCACTCCCAAATTCTGGAGGTAGCCTCTGATAGCAGTGCTCTTCAGAGGCGAGCACTGTCATCAGTTTGGTCCCAGATTGGGGAAATATGCCATCGCCACTGGTTGCAGAACCTCATCTCGATATCTCTCTGCATTCAGATTGCCTCCGGTGATGACAAGCCTTGTTTATTCAGTGAGGAAGATGCTGCCCCACACCATCACACTGTCTCCGCCAAAAGCAGTTACTCCATTTTCCACATCTTCTCCACACTTCTCCACCCTGGAATCATTGCTGAGCATAATTTTCTTCCAAATGTTCAGATTCCAGTGCACATGTTGCAGACACTGGATAAACCTGATGGTGAACGGCAGTCATGGCAGGCCTCCTGCCATCCCTACGAGATCGGAGATTGACTGTGTGCAGTGTCTTTCAAATTGTCTGGATAGAGAGCTGTCAGCCATGTCGTCCCGTAAACTTTGACTGCAAATCTGTAGGGCTTACTCCAATAATACTGCAACTTGGCTTTGCAGAACATCAACTTGAATGGCACAGGCCATAGGACAAATCAGTCAAATGTGGAATGCTTGGAACAGACATAAGATAACCACTCTAGGAGTGTCTGTGCTCCCAGTTTGAACATAATCCACATAACCAACTCTGCTGCTCAACCCACTTACAAATGTGGGACCATTTCAGGGGACATAAACAAGCTTTGAGCAGTATAAGATTTGTTGCCAAGAAGCAAGAAATAGAAATAATTAAGCATACATTAATTTCCTTATATGTTAAGATATAAGTTTACTAATACAGTGGGATGCCAAAGCTTGGGCAACCTTGTTAATAATCATTATTTTCCTGTATAAATCGTTGGTTGTTACAATAAAAAATGTCAGTTAAATATATCATATAGGAGACACACACAGTGATATTTCAGAAGTGAAATGAAGTTGATTGGATTTACAGAAAGTGTGCAATAATTATTTAAACAAAAGCATGCAGGTGCATAAAGGGGCTGTAGGTTCTGAGAGGCTTGTGGTGAAGCTTACTGAACATTAAACATGTATATATGTCCTAAATATATATTGAAACATTATTTTTGACTGCAAAAAGCAAAGAATAAATGTAATTTAAATTGGACATGAGGTCCACCATAATTACAAGAAAATCATTTAAAGGCTAAGGAGTAGAAATATAAAGCTGTGTGATATGGTCTCATATTGGAATAAAAGCATACATTAAATATAGTGCATTTTCTGTAAATTCAGATATATACGTATAAAAAGTGTGCCGGTCCTGTGGGACAATGCCTGATATCACAGATTATCAGTCCAGCCCTGGCTACATATATTTTCCATCTGTAAATAATGGGTAAATAATATCGCCATGTGGGAAGTAAAGAAAAAGAAGCAGCTTAACTTTAAAGCAAAGATAAATGCTACATAGCTAGCTTAAACAGTTACCACACATAAATCTTACATTTTGCTGACCTGGACATTTACATTGTATAGCCAGAAATGTTCCGGTAGTATTCATTTTCACATTAATGTTGTGCCATAACATAAAGTTGATCAAGTATTTTTTCAGTGTTAGGTAAAAGCAGGGATTTGTGTGATAGGGGCTGTAAGGCAGGGTTAGCTGGGTGTCTCATATGTTGTTGCTAAACTTGATGTTCTTGTGACAGCTTTAAATAAATGCTAGTTAGTGCATCTGATAGCACAGCAACTATCTGGCATTTTGACCAAGTTAAACTCGAAGATGTTCGGCTGGAGGGCAAAGGATCACATTACTGTTTTTACACAGCACAAAATGAAGAATTAAGTATAATATAAAACAATAGACAGTTTAATATCATCATCTGATATAATTTGTCATACTGCACAACCCTAAATATAAATGTACATTTTAATAATGTTTTAGATGTTGGAATTTTTCTATTGCGATAAGGAGCACTGAAAATAGTCATGAAGACTACTACTCAAGTTTACCTCATAACTGGTTGAAACCAAACCTTTGATGCTGAATTTCACAATTTTGATGCTACACAATATGCGACAAATAACAATGTCATTTCCTTGCAGCTTTTGTTACGCTGGGGCTCTGAAACCACCACAGTAAAGTGGAGCAGAAATCACTGTTAAATATCTGATTTTTTTCTTCAGCTGTGGGTCTGTATTTCTGATGATGCTAAATAGATCACTAAATATAAGAAGTGAACACCTTACCAACCTGTACTCAATGGGACATTTGATTTCTTCGGACTGATTGAAATGAATGAGATTTATGAAAAAAATAAGTAATACATAAGTTCTGTCTCTTTTAATGAATTCATATTTTATTTTACTTCAGCTGGTCCACAATGAAATAAGAACTGACAAAAATACAGTGACTGCTGTGACATAAAAAATGAAGTAAACCCTGTTGATTTTTTTTACCATTCTGGCCCAGTATCCGAACTTCTCTTCCTTCTTGTTACTGCTGAGCAGACTTATTGTTTTCCCAATCTCTCTCAGTTCATCTGAGACTTGTTCAAGACCAAGGGACACCTCTGTCAGCTTGTCGCTGCTCCTCTGCAAAAGTTTTGTTTTTACATTTTAAAGAAAGTTATCAACAAATTTAGGCCACTGACTGCTACTACATTTGACACAATGGTTTGTTTCCATTGTGACTGAAATAAAAGGGTTTTCTACTAATATACAAACAAACATCTTGATCTCTTTCTCTAAGTAATTTCTCAAATGCAAGCTCAATGATTTTTACACTTCACTTTAAACAAATAACCCTTTAAAGTGTAGCTAAAGTCTCACCTTTTCAGTCACAGATTGTGTTTCATCGGCACTTTCATCACAAACAGATGCACAGTCACTGGATTTTATTCCTGGGAGGATATTAGACAAACGATTAAGGGTACACAATTAAAATGATATAATTAAATGTCATGTAAATGCTAATGTTAATGTGTGGGTATTTTAACCATAACTAAAGATAAACCTGATTACATGAGTTTAGATCCACAGGCTTAATCTCACCTCTAACACAGAAGTTGGCTTTGCACCATTTGTCTCCACAATTTACACTCAGGTTTTGCTCTTCATCTGTCTCATTGTGATGGGCTGCAGAGTCTTTCTCAATCAGATACATCATCACAATAGTCTCCAGGAGGCTGAGCAGCATCAGGGTAAAAGTCCCAATGCAGTAGATAGCTGAGGAGAGCAGACTATGTCAGTAATGTAATTTATTAATGCATTCAGTCAAATAAACCCCACTTTGTTACCTATAAGTGGAACCTTTTTTGAAGTGCTGGGCAGAATGTCATTCAGAATAAGCTGCAACACTGTGACAGCGAGCAGGACAGTGACCTTGAAGCTGAGTTTCTCGCCTCCAGCATCTGGGATCAGGAAAGAGGCCAAGTCCAGAACCAAGAAGAAGAGCACTGGAGAAATGAAATTGGCAATGTAGAGGACTGACCTCCTTCTCATCGTGATCTGTGCAATAAAATATAATAATAATAATAATAATAATAATAATAATAATAATAATAATAATAATAATAAAGAATTCCTTATTGCCTTTTAGCTGTTGTTGGTTTCTTGTGCTGCCTGCAATTGTGTCTCCTCTAAGAACTTATCAAATATGACCAATAACTTATAATAACATAAAATAATGTTTGTAATACAAGGACAAATGCTTTGCTTTAAAGTTTTATTGGATACAGATGTGGGGTTTTTTTCCAGCATAGCAGGAGTAAACTTTGATAATCTTCTGTATGGAACAGCAAGTTTACAGTATAAGCCATGATGTGCTGAGGATGTGGTAAGTGGCTGCAGGCCTTTTTAGATTGTACTTAAAAGAGGGTTAGGAGGATAAAGAAATCTAGTACTTGTCCAATAAATGCTGTGTATGCTTCAGGGGGAACAAAACCACAAGGAAAACAACTTTTTTGCTGAGTTTTTAAAACCCTTTCAAAACAAACTGCAATTTTGTTTTCATTACAAATGTTATTAAAATGTGGCTAATGACTCAATTTCCACATCTGTGTTTCTGCTTTAACCTCCTAAGACCCAAACTCTTTCATGGCATGCATTTTTAATTTCTCTTTGCTATTTGGAAATCTTTGCAAAATTTAGTATTGTGGTCTAAACCTAAAATGTGATGACCCAATATGTGGACGCCAGGACCTAAGAGGTTAAGAAGTACTTACCGTGTAAATAATTACAGTTTGATGTGGATACATAATGCTGGATTTGTTTGTGGCTGCCAAGTTCTCGAACGTCCACTCGTACTGGGTCCACATCATGCTGCGTGTCAAAGTTGTCATCGATTTATTGTTTTTGTTGTAAATTAATTCTATTTCATTATCTAAAATGGAATAGAAAAATAAATGTGAGCAGATGAACAAAGGACTATATGTTGTGATGTTTCATGGTTTATATATACGAGAGTACGAAAAACACATGTAAGTAGAACTTGATATTGACTCACCAGAATGCATGACAGACTTGAAGGAGATGTTGCACCTTTGAACATCAAAGGGAAATTTGTAGACACGCATCCTGCAGGCAGTTGTCACCACCTGCTCATTTGTGTATTCGACCCCACCATACCAGTGAATTAAGAGATAAGGACTTTTAGTCTCTTTGTCCTTGTCTGTCCTGTATGAGAGCAAATGAAAACAGATTACGGCACAAAATATGGTACGCACATATAGTGTAGCGCAGGGGTCTCAAACTCCAATCATCGAGGGCTGGTGCCCCTAAAACTTTTCCATGTGTCCCTGCTGCAACACACCTAACGCCACCGGTGGTGTTGTTGTCCACGAACCGTCTAGTAGTGAGTATTTCTGATATTTACTCCAGACCCTTAGATGTAGAATCAAGAGAGTGAGTAGGGGTTGGCTGCTTTCAACATGGACGATTCGCCTGGTTTCAGCGTTCCTGGTCAGGATAGCAGCAATGACGATTGTGATTATGTTATGAACTCAAAGACTGAATTCTGTTCCCTTGAAAATAATAGGGGTCATATTTCTGAACTGTTTAGCTCCAGTACTGAAATCACCAATCAGGAGACAGTCAACTCTGATGCTGTGATCCAGTTCTGCCGTTAACGATTATGTTTTTGCTTCTGTTTGTGTTAATTTGGCATCTGACTCTACTGAAAATCCTGTTGATTCAATGTCAAAGACTGTTTCTAGTGGGGGAAGATGGGGAGTTCTGAATATCATTCCAAAACCCACTGTGCTTTTCAACTAGCAGAGTCCAAAGAGACAGTAATCCCCTCTGAGGCTGTTAACTCTGTTTTTTGCGTGACTGAACTCGCTGCCTCCGAGTCTAGGATTAGTTCCAAAGCAACCAGAGAGTTGTGAGGACTTAAAGTGTTAACCCAGAGTCAGTCTGTACTTCAGGGAGAAATGTGAATGCAGCATCTGGGAGCTCAGGCTCCGATGAGTTTTCCTCTCCACCACATAACTAAATTTAACACATTTGCTTTGCAGTCATGTACACTTAATGTGTGCCCTGGAACCAAGCTATGGATGTTTAAATCATGTGTCTGTAGACAATCCTGTTGTGAAAGTTTCTCTCTCTGGGGGAAGGTTCAAGGATTATGGGGCGCCGTTTGTAAAGTGAAACATGCTCAAATTAACGGCAACATTTTTCCACATTTAGCTCAAAACCTTGCAAAAACATGTTTTTTCCAGTCTTTTTTTTACAACATTTAGTAAAATATTTGTAACTTTTTATATTTAAAACAAAATTTTAAATGTTAAATCTAAGTGTTAAATATTGCTGCTTCACTTCTTGCCTACCAGCATGTCCAGCGATTTAGCTGAAAACATCGGAAGATCTGTTTTGTCGGCCATCCAAAGGTTCAGCAGTAGTTCACCCTCAGCAGCTACAGTCTCCACTTCACAATCGCCACAGCACCTGTACAGCTAAATCGCTGGGAAGGGAAGGAGCTGGCCCAAATGGTGGCCGAGCTGGCAGCCACACAGCAGGAGCAGGTGGTGGTGTTGCAGTGTTGGCGAGAAGAACTGCAGGACCAGGTCGAGTGCAGCATGCAAAGGATTTGGCGGCTCTGATCCAGTCCTGGTCAGCACCACGGCGACCCCCACTGATGTGCATGGGAGTGGAGAAGGTCTGGTCATTTCCGGCCCCCAGGATGCGACCAGCCAGGATGCAGCCTGTCCCCTCACCCATTCCCACTCCTTATGTGGGAGTGGCTGGGGCTCGGTAAGTGCCTGAACCCATCCCAGCTCCTCGAAAGAGGGCCACGGAGCAGCCACCGTGTCGGCAAACCGCACAGCCAGAAACGGAGGATGGTCCACGTCTGCCAGAGGTGGAGGAGCTGCGCAAGGGGCAGCTCCTGCTGGAGGCGGAGGCCACATGGTTGGCCCCTGGACCAACCTTGTAACTGCCACCACTGAATGAACACATTCGTGTTGCTGGGCAGGGGCCGGGGGTGCCGACGGTCTGGGCCAGTCCCCTCTCCTGATCGCGGGGGGGAGCAGGTTCGGCCGGATGGCTCCCCGGCCTCAGTTGGGCGATAGGTATGTGGCGGGGTGTGGTCAGCGGTCCTGCTGCTGGGGAGGTGAACGCACCTGCAGGGCATCCGCAATTACACCTCACCGGGTTAAAAGTTTCTGGGTCCTGGATTTCAGTGTTGTTGTTGATGCGAGTTGGGCTGTGAGCTGCAGAGCTGCAGCTGACTGAGCGTGTTTGTAGCAGCAAACTTGATAAGTGTTAATAAAGATGCTGAAAAGCATGTATGTGTGGACATGTCTGACGTGTCAGTATTACAGTCACATTGTACTCTATCCATAGTTTTCAATCAGACTCACTACTCTGACATGCAAAACATTACTCCATTGTGACCACAAATAGACAGTTGGTAGTAATGTAGGACAAAGGTGGTTGTTTGTTCATCTGTCTTGGCTCGTCCATGGAGGAAAAACAAAGATTTGAAGAGAAACTGAATTTTGGAGACTTGTGATCCATATTCTGTTCCAGCAGCTTTATTTAAATCCCTAAAAGTGGTGACTTCTCTCGCAGAGCTCCAGTTCTGTTCCAGTTATATACATTTTCGATCTGGATGGGTAAACAATGCCACCATGGAACAGGTGAAGTACAAGAACTTGTTCATCATTGAAGCAAAGCTAAGCACTACATAACTAGCTCAAACACATTGAATCTTACAGTTTGTTGACCTGGACATTTACAGTGTGGAAAAGTGCCAGAAAGTCCACACAGAATTAATTTGTCACATTGATGTTGTGTATTGCAAGTAAAGTTATTCAAGTATTTTTTCAACGCCAGGTAAATCATTCCTACAGTTTAAATGAGAAACCCCTAACTGCTTGGGTTACTGTGAAGGAGCAGGGATGGTGCAATTTGGCCTAAGGCAGGGTTAGGAGAGGTGTGTTCATATGTTGATGCCATACTTTACATCCTTCTGGCAGCTGTAAATAAACACAAATTAGTGCATCTGATAGCACATAAACTACATCAACTATCTGGCATTAAACTCAAACAAGTTCAACAAGTAGACGGCAAAGGACCACAGTGCTGTTTTTGCCTGCCAGGTTGGCATGTCCCAGTAGCTTTGACATCAGGTGAAAACTATGGATAGATTAAGAATGGGATGTCACTCAAGTTCATGTG